CTGTACACCGACTGGGCGCACTCCCACGATTTCTCAACAATCTGACGCAGAGCAAATATATGGTCAGAGGTACTTCGACCAGGCCGGAAGCCAAAGTGCTCTTCTTTGATCTTGAGGTCGACCACTTCACGGTACCTACTTTCTAGCACCTTTGCGTAGACCTTACCTCAGAGGCTCAATAACGTTATGCCCCTATATTTAGAGCATTCCTTGTGGTCTCCCTTCCTGAATACGGGTCAATAACTCCCGTTCTCCAGTATGCTGGTGTCTTTCCCGCAGCCATCGCAGTTTCACAGACACGTGTTAGCCAGCACATACTTTGTTCGCGTAATACCTTGAGCATCTCAGGGCGGATTTCGTCAGTTCCAGCAGCATTTCTATTTTTCAAGCTTTTCAGAACATGTGTAATTTCATCTATAGAGATATTAACATCCGTGCCTTTCTGTTCTACAGCCGACTCTTCCTACTGTTGCTCGTGGTTGAGGAGTTCCTCAAAGTACTCCCTCCATCACCGAAAAATGTCATCATCGTTGGTAAGAGGGTGTCCAGATCTGTCCTTCAAAACTCTGAGATTACCCGTCTTTTCACCTCGGAGCCGGCGGATGGTCTGCCAGAATACTTTGTTTACCGTGTGGAAATTGGACTCCAACACCACACCGAACTTCTCGTAGGAAACAGTCTTGGCTTTTGCCACTGCTATGGCTGCCGGCTTGCGTTCCTCGACATATCCACGCGTGTAGATGGCTCCTTGTTTCCAAGCCATTTCTTCAACGCTGCTTTCTTCTCTTTAACCGCCAGTTGTACCTCTCGTGTCCACCATGAAGATCTTTTCTGACCTCCAGGCTGCAAGCCAACCCGTTTATGTCCGCAGTATTCGGCGGCAGCCTCGAGTATGCCACTGTTAAAAAGCAGTCACTCGGTTTCAATATCAGTTGTCATCACAGGGATCTGTTCAAACCGTCGTGGGATGTTGTTTGCAAATTTCGCTCTCGTGTCTACCGAAGACAGTGTTT